TGAAATGACCGTTTAGCTGAGCAAGGTGCTCTTGTATTAGGGGAGTGCGCATGAGGAGGCCCAATGTCCACCTGCCACCCTACTACCAAACCTATAAATATTTGCACCTAGGTCCATGAGATTTGAGCTAGCATCCAGCTCTCAGATGCTGGGGGTTAGGGAGCAGCAGGCGGGAAGGAAACATGCCCTGGAAGACGGCACCTCCGGTGCCCGGGAACTGTGCAAGTAAACGTTTCCGCTTCGCCATTGAAAGTCAAGTCAACCTCAGGGCTCTGACTTCTTTTGCAAAAGTTGTTTCAACAACTTTTATTAGTTACTATCAACTCACTGCCCTTGAGTTGATTCTGACTTATAAAGACCCTATAGGTCAGAGTTGAACTCCCCGGTGAGTTTGAGACTGAACTGTTTCTAGGAGTACCAAGGCTTCATCTGTCTCTCAGGGAGCAGCTGGTGGTTTTGAACTGCTGACCTCATGGTTCGCAGCCCAGCTTATAACGAACTCATTATGCCCCCAGAGTTCCTATAAACATGGAAGATACATATGTATATATCTGTATTAATATATGTGTATGTACAATTAGAGTTAGTTCATTCATTGTGTTTACCATTGATCCAATAAACATTTGATTGGATACATTTAAACCAAACACTGATGGATACCTATTACTGGATCTCCCCTTCTGGTCTTGTTTACACAGCAGCATTTCAATCGCTTTATGATCCACTAATAATGAGTGTTGCCAACTACATGAGGACATCTTAAGTAAGATCCAGCTCGATTTCAGAAGCGAAAATGGGAAAAACCTGCCTGGAGACAGTCTGGGCTCAGCATCTCGTTGGTCTCACTTTGAGACCCACATGTGACTGGGTCCCTCTGACTGGCATTCCCTTCCCCCGTCCTCAGTTGTTGCCGGGGCGGGTTATGTCACTGTCAGGGTTTTCTCCCGTGTATGCTGTAAGTGTGCTGCGGACTCAATGCCCCAGGAGTGACTGCTATTTCGGACTCAATGCCCTAGGAGTGACTGCTATTTCGGTAGCAGAGTACCTGTTTGATGCTGCTTCTTCCTGTCCATCTCTTAAACTGGCTCCTTTCTTGGGACAAACTATGCCCAGCTGTGCTTGAAGACATACATACCCACCCGTTACCTTTCATGAAAGCGTCACTTTTCTTCTGGTTGTTAGAAAGTCTGTCTGTCCTGAGGGTGACACAAAGGCTGCAGGGAAAAGGCACCGTGACCAGCACATTTCTTTTATGATGCCAAAGCACCTGCTTCTTGATAGCCTCTAGGTGCGGGGCTGGCGGGAGGTTCACTATGACCCACGCTAAATGAGTAACTGTGGAATGTGAATTAGATTTAATTTGTGTGCCGAGGGCACTGCCCTGGATTTTAAATGATTTAATGACTACACCTGAACACACCACCCTAGCTTCTAGTCAGTTTAAAAGCTGCAAATGGTTTTCATTTGGGCTCAGCAAAGTTAAGAACAATGAGGAGAATAAAGACCAACATCTGAGAAGCATTTTCTACAAAAAAAAAATTGCTTTATTTAAAAATACAATCTTCTTAAAAAGAGACAACTTTTATATACAGTTATTTAGTCAAAAGCACAACAAAATAAATCCAGACTTAGAAATTATGATTTGTATCATACACAATACTGGTGCTGAAGAAGAGAGCTTGCATCTATGATCCATATTTTGGCCCCCATCAAATTTTAATAATTCGTATTTGTGAAAGCCAGTGGCTGGGGCTCCAGAAGGGCCCTGTCTGCACCCTGTCCCCTAGGCAGTCTGTCCCCCTTTCTTGGCATGCGAGGCTGTCCAGAGAGACATCCCCTCCAGGATTCTCTTCTCTGCAGCTCATCTGTATGTGGCTGGAGGGCCTGCTCATGTAGCAGGCATTTCTCTGTAGGTTTTTAAAATGGGAACTCTCTAAGGGCAAGGGACATGCTCTGCTATTTCCAGTAGAGGACTTGGCGCTCAATGCCCTGGGGACAACATCAATACTCAACATGATTTTGGTCTCCAAGCCAGCATACTGGGTAGCAGTCAACCAATCCGTCTCAGCGCGGTACTGATGTACTTTAAACCACATGCAAACATCTAATATAGATTTGTAATAAAAGTGGAGAAATACCTTGTCAAACTAAAGTGCGGTGAGTGACCACCTGCAAGAGGCTGTCTTGAATTAGTCCTTCTGTTTGTACCATGGTCATTGCTTCTCAATCTGGGGAATTCTAGCATCTTCCTGGGGTATCAATTTTATGCAAAGGTTTGGAAAGAAGTTGAAAGCTTCCCTAATTTTAAAAGGCTCTGTTGGATGTATTGACGGAATCAAAACGACCTTAAAGGTAAAACAGATGGCCGTAGAGAAGCCACAAGCTGCCATTTTGGGCCATCCCCTCAGGCGCAGGCGCTCTTCTCCAAGGAGCACTTCAGGAGCGCTGTCTGGGCTCTCGGTGTCTGACAGCACAGCCGCGTCCTTCCTTACTGACAGCGCACCAAAGAAATGCCAGAGCGTTGGCTCATTCTCAGGTTGCATCTTTTGAGACAACACATTCTCCGGCCTGAAACAACCTAGTTCTGCCTGCAGCACTCAGGAAGAAAGTCAAGGAAAGAGCTCTTTGGACTGATCTTTATTGACACTGTTCAGCCATGAGAGGAACACGGCAAAGCCGACTGCTGGTTTACAACTAACAACAGACACACAGGCCATCAAAGTCAGCAGAAGACTAGAACCGGGCCCACTCCGAACTGATACTAGAACAGAAACTGTGGATGTTCCCCCCTAATTTTGGGTTTATGTTACACTTTATCCTCATTCTTCTTCACTGCCCTTTTTGTTGAAGGTATATCCTTTCGAGGTCTTAGTCATAATTATACTACCTCCTCTAGAGCTTCAGACCAATGAGGAGTCTTTCAGTACAGTTCACAAAGTAAACTCAAACTTCCCACCAATAAAAAGTACTGGCTGTCAAGTTTAAGCCAACGACCCTTCTTCGTACAAATGAATAGACAATGGAATTATCTGTGTCAAATTTGGAAGTTAAAAAAAACCAAACAATGGGTCAACTACATAAGGCAAGGTAAGGAAAACCTTATCCATAAATCACGCTGGCATCCAGCACATTTAATAATTAAATAAAGTTAAATAGGACACTGGATCAAAAACGATCCTAGACGGTTGAAGGATTAATGTCATTAATCCCACAACTTAATGAGCCCATCCCAGCCGCACGTTATGACTTTCGAGGTCTCGTGGGGGTGCCACACTGCTCCTATGCAGACTTTTTCGTGAGCTTTAAACCGACTGTAGAGTTTTGTGGTCTTCCAGTCCCAAATGTTTAATTTCCCATTCCCATCTCCTGAAATCACGTAGCTGCAATGGGAAGAAAAAATAAATTCAATTACTCAAAGACCTTAAATGGGTAAAGTGGGATAAACAAACCGAAGAGCTCTTTAATCTTTTTCACTCTACTGTAAACTGCTCTCAAACTCCCAACAAGATATCTATCAATAAACGCACAACACTTAGTGAAAACAACAAAGTAAGGCATGAAGACGCCTACAATTTAAACTCCTACCAAAGGTAAAAACAAAAACAACTCCCGCTTAGCTACCAGGGAAAGGCGGAGAGTGCCAGGGCCCCAGTGAATGTCAATCAATCCCAGCACGTCTTTAGAAAGTCACTAAAGTCTTCCAGGGAACCAAGGTGACCTATTTATAGAGCCAGTAGACCTGCTTTTAGACCTACTGTACCAACTTCCTAATTCTTTTTTTGGCTCCTGTATCTTCCGAATATGTCTAACAATGACCCAGAGTTCTCACTCCAAGGTCCAATTCCCAGGCTAACCAGACAGCACAAGATCCTCTTCTGAAGGAACTCTGTTTCCCAATAAATGCGGGAACAGATAGAGTTTCACTCTTAGGCAGATTCTAGGCTTCACAAACGCACTGTGACCTAGAAGTGTTTGGAATCGGAGGAACTCGAGGTTTCAGCAGACAAGCTGCTCACGTGAACACTGCAATACGGAACCAGTTCCTTTGGTGCTCATTCACGAACAGCAAGATCATGCTTGCTTAGGAGAGCAGAAAGAAAATCAAGCACCGGTTGGACAGACAGGGATTGATTACGTGGTTAAAGGGCACAAGCCTGAGCAAGGTAAGGAGAAAATACTGGAGTGAATATATATATCACTTCCATAATTTGTTCCTATTTTTTTAATTTGGCATCTTACAGAGTTTTCATACAAGTCTCTATGAGAACATTGCGAAGTGTTACTTGTTTAACAGCTTATACCATTCAACTTGAATGTGATCACAGAGTTAGAAGATTGAAAGTTACCTCATGTCGGGCGAAAAGTCCACTTGACAAGCATATCCTGCTACCATATGGCCCTTAAAGATTTTTTTCTTGTTTAATCTAAATCTGTTCTGTGCTCCAAAAATTAGGATTTGGTTGTCCATTGATTGGCATGCCAACCACTTCCCTGTAAATTCAATACATGAAGCACTTTAGAGAAAGAATAAACATTTAAAAGCCTTTTAAGTTTTATTTCAAATACATCTACTGCCATTAATATTCTTTTGCCCCCAATTACTTTATAGTTATTAAGAAAAAAATTTACCACCATCTGCCTCATTGGCAAGAGATATTTATATGTAAAGTAATACATAACGCTCAATCTTCCTATCATTGAACATTTTCCATATAAAAGCTTTAAAAAAAATACAAAACTCCAAGTTTAGTCTAGAACTTTATGAAATTAATATGTAGGAAGTAAAAGCAGCCCCCAGGTTATAATAACAGAGATCTGTTTATAACTGTGTCTTTATGAATTTGTTGTCAGAATAAGTATGCTAATAAGTATGGTGCTAATGTGGTCTTTAGTGCATGAGAAAACATGAAGTCTTCTCAGTGATGTAAGAGCTGCACGTGCAGCAAGCGAAGGTGATCGGGGTGCAGACTTTGTTAGCAGTCGGGGTTGGTGCAGAGGTGTCAGAGTGAGGGCAAGCTGACACGAAAGCCGGCCTTCGTGCAGGGTCCCCATGAGCTGAAGACGCTCGATGCCGTGGGAAGGGGAAAAAGCAGGGCTTCAAAGATGGCGGCGGCCCTGCTGACGGATGGGCCACCCTTGCTGCTTGCAATGTGTGTGGCTCTTCAGAGTTCTGCCAATCATCCAATCTCACGCCGCAGGACCTGCAAGGGCTCACCATTCCACAGCTTCGATATGGACTTTTTGCCTTTCTGGTTACGGTGATGAGTCACTGTAAAAATCCTGGTCTGTTCTGTTTTACTTCTTGGCCAGGACAGAACCAGTTTGAAGCTCTGCATTAAAGGGCAAGTCCATAAGCCACAATCATAACCCGGGGACTTATTTGTACAGAAAACAGAACTAAGGGAAGAAAGAGACCTATTTGTATTATGTATAGAAAGATAAATGATAAACTCTCGTGAGAAAATCAAGGATCATTAAATAAAGCTATGCTAAAAAAAAAAAAAAATCAATGGAATTTTCCCAGATTTAAAAATTATAAACCTTAGGTGTTTCATATTAGTCATACAGGATGGGCTGCTTAGCTTTCAACACTAGACCCTCCCTTTCCACAGAATTGTTCCAGCCCCCTTGTGTAACTAACAAGCACTGGGGGGACGGTAGACTACACATGAGCTGCTAACTACAAGACCATCGGCTCAAGCACAAAAGGCGCTCCGAGGGAGAAAGTTAGGGCTGTGTGTTCCTGTAAAGACTGAAAGTCTCGGAAACCTCTGGACAGTCCCCCTTTGCCCTACAGACTTGCTATGACTCGACAGTGAGTTTGTTTTGGGACTTTTCTAAGAGAATGGTCCTATCAAGGCTCAGTGTGTGTGGTGAATGGTCTTGTTTACAATGGGCACAATGTCTGTAGTTGGTGAAAAACACACTGAAGTGTACATGCAACATGGCAGTGTACACCAAGTTAAGATCCAGTTGGGATGCTCTGTCCATAAAACTCATGGGACATTTGGCACCAACCACTAAATGGCCTGTGCGGAGGACTGATGGGAAAGCGAACTCATCTGCCTGCTCTTCCCTGTCCTACACTCCAGTAGCTAAGTGAGCCGCCTGAGGCTTAGAGGACGATATTTACTCCAAGTCACTTTAATGCCCTCAATTAAAAGTGACACTGTGGTATGCTGCCAGGACGTCTGCAGCACAAATGACCTGATAATTGAAAGGCAATGAATGGGTTATGGAATGGGAGCAGCATTATACACATTGATCTTATCTACTTTTGATGGAGAAAATTTACATAAAATTAAATGGAGTCAGACCTCAATTTCTCATCCCTTGAAAAAAAAAAAAGGCACTCCCAATAAGACACTGATACACCAACCAGTGGCTATGATTCTGGAGAAAGGGGGATTCGAATAAAGCAGCCCCCTACTCAGCTGATGCTAGCTGTCAATCACTGTTTATTTTATGGTTTTAAAAGCAAGTGTGGGTGGGTCGAGTAAGAGGTTATTTCTAATGTTGGAAATATTTCCTCAAACAAGTGTGGCTTTGTGACAGTCAAGAAGGGATTGGCCAAGGATCCTGGGAATTCAGAAATCACACCTGGTCTTAGAAGCTCATTTGTAAACATCCGAGGTGCTAACTCACCGTTTGGAGACAAAGTCACTGCAGGCATTGAGTGCATACTAGGCTCTGCTATGTACTTGAAATCCACAGGGATATCCCTGAAAAATGAAAAATATCACATCAGTAATGCTTGAAAGCACCTTTTAGAATGGCTCATGAAACAACGGGATAACAGCCCAAAATAAGAGCAGCCTCTTGAAATTAGATATTTATGAAAAATATTTCCTGGCATTTCCTGAAGAAAAGAAAATCACAGAATGATTTTATATTGTTTGTTATAAATCTCTTACTTCACAAATGTCTTCCCACGGCAATGACTGACTGTTCTAACTCTTGATTTAAACTTTGGCCTTTATGTTTTTCGGTTTTATTTTTTTTACAAAAAGGTTCTTGAATAATGGTGTGCTGACAAGTCTCCAGCAGTGCCAGGCAGAGCTGCGTGGGGACCTGGGGGCTGATCTAGCCCATTTCCTCCCAGCGACCAAGCTAGCAGGACGCGGAGTGCTGGCTCTGGACACCGTCTGTCTTCGGTTTGCAGGTAAAGCATTCTAAGGCATATGGCACAGGAGAAAATGCACCACACATTTTTTTCCATGTGAAGGAAATAGTCAAACACACACAAAATTCTAAAACGAATCACCAAAATCTAGAGCTACCGAAAGTTCCAAGTTTTAATTTAGTTTTATTTAGTTTTAATATTTCAGTATTTTATTTTCATACTTAATGTTCAGATAAACCTCCTTTGGGATTCTGAAAGGACTTTTGGTCTTGTGCTGGGCTGCTAACTGCAGAGTTGGTGGTTCAGATCCACCAGCCACTCAGGAGGGAAGATGAGGCTGGCTGTTTCAGAATCTATGTGGGGTTGCTGCTGTGAGTTGTCCTCGACTTGACGACAATGCGTTCAGTTGTCCGTTTGCTTTTAATAAGAGACCAGAGTGCTGTGTGGGAGGTGCAATCTGAGCAGCAACAGATGCCAAGCCACAATTTCAATGTCAAACTATGGTTCATATTCCAATATTTTGATTAAATGGAAAATAATAATTATCTATCCATCTATCCAAAAGAGGAACAGATGATTAGAAAGAACTTCTAGGTCTTGGTTAAAAAAGAAGCTGAGAAACATTGAGAATGGACATTCCGAATGACCTAAACGAGTCTCAGTCTGAAAAAGGCTTGTTTTCCTTCTTCACATGCATTACTACTGAGAGCTAATTTTATAACATGGATTAGAAACACTGTGCATTTCTAAATTAACCACAGTCTAGGTTCACATTACATGTTTTACTACAAACACATTCTAATGAGCTTTTGGGCAAGAAATGAATGCAAGCCACTCTGGACCGTCATGGTTTCTAGCAAAAATGCCTGCTAGGCAGAGTTCGCCCGAGCAGGCACAGCACTGTTTTCTAATGAAGATGCTGCGATTCCATTTACTAAGCTAATAATTCCTGTCTGGTAAAGAATCTGGTTTGGAAATGAATTCATCACCCAAACTACCAGCACCCCGTGAAATTTAGGGATAAGGCATTAGGCAGGATCAACAACACGAGCCATGCACCGTGGAGTGTCCTCTACCGATGAGTGAGCCCAGGAAGTCAAGTGGCCGTGGCTGGTAGACACAGTGTCCACATTAGAGCTCAGCACAGAATATGACGAGAAAGCTTAGTTCTTCGGCAGCCTCAAAACCTCGGGCATGGAAGGTAGTGCACTATGTTCATGGTCAATTCTCCATTAAAGTGCAGTCATCTGTTGGGGTGTGGTGGTGGTGGACAATGTGGGAGAAAGCACACATAGATTACATTACATCTGCAGTTTCCCTAATTGTTCTGATAATGGTTAAGGCCAAGCACATTCCCGAGGGAACTCAGTCTGGGGAGGAAGTCACTGGCTGTGGTTCAAGGTATCTGTGGACTGCCGATGGTAAGGAGACATGCTTCCCATTCTGGGCAAGGCTGCAGCCAGACTTGAGCTGTGCTTCAAACATGCCTCTGAAAATGAGCAGCGTGTTTGTCATTGTTACCAATGCTCATTGTCACCAAAAGACGACTATGCATTGCATCGCAACTAAATGTCAAACAGGACCTCTGATACGTAAAGCAATGAGCTTTGATCTATTTTTGTTTTCGGAAAGCGCCTGTTTGTTTTCCTCTCGAGGAAAGCAAAATGAACACATTCTACTTATTTCTACAAGTCAAATCTGCTTTCTACCCCTAAGGGTTATATGCATGGTAGGTCACAAGGGTATATGGAGACATTTCCTGCATTGAGTAATCATATAGAAGATATTTTATAAAATGGAAAGATTCGTCAACATTTTCTCTGGCCAGGATCTTATGCTCGTTCCCTAGAGCAGCCAAGAGCCTCTGTCCACTCCTGATGGGCTCGTGGCCCTCACTGCTTGCCAGCATTTTGCAGCTGTTCCACTCCCTGACCGGGGGAGGTGGGCAACACCAGACAGCCTCTCCCCACTGCAAGGAAAACAGCACAACTCCCTTATCCTTTGGAGCGACTGTCCAGAGGCTGAAGAAACAAATGAAAATTTAAAATTGGATTTCCATATTGTGAATATATAACAGGATCAGACAGGTTGGCCAGCCAGTTAAAACAGCTGGGAGAACACTCCAATGGGAGGGGGGCCGGAGGGGGACAGTATCACCCTCGGTCTTAGGCAGCACACTTTTCAGTGGCTGGCTCGACATACGTAAGCCAGACTTTCTACAGATGGAGACTCACCATTCCCAAACTCTTAGGCTCTTATCATCGGACGTGCTTACAAATCTCCGATTCTCATCCACAAAAACAATGGTGTTTACAGCTCCCAAATGTCGGTCATATTCCTGTACAATTTCTCCACTGCGAATGTCCCACTGTGTGTCAGACAAGAAGAAACGGTAAAGACGGAACCAGAGCAGGTGTTTCAATGCCAACAAAGATCCTGACTTGGGAACGGGTGGTGGCAAGAGGTCAGCCAGCAGCACGTTTTTGGGTCTGTTTGTTTTTTAAAAATAAACTCACTGTCTGTTTTCTACTTAGAGAAAGTAGCACTCACTAAACGTTAACACACATTAAACAAGTTCATGGTCCATATTCCATTCACTGATATTACGAAGTTCAGGATTCTTAATATCAACAGGTTTACCTGTACAATCTTTTTATCAGACATTCCAGCCACAAAGAGATTTTGCTTATCCTCATCAGGATTAAACTTGACACAATAAGGTACTTTTCTGTTTGTAAATCTCGATATACACTGTCCTGAAAGCAGAAAACCAGTTTAAATCAGTAAAAGTACATTTGGACACTTACAGAGAAGTTCATGGTTAAGATCGGGAGAGCAACTGCAGGGTACATTGTGGGAAAAGGCATCCATCCTACTTGCTCTTTAGTGTAATGTACATCGTTCTTTTTCACAAATTTTTAATGATTCAAAGGGAACAAAAATTAAAGTAAATCTGTACTATCAACTACAAAATCGATACATTAGAGCACATCTCATTCATATGATGGACTATTAAAAGCAATAAAAAAGAAGAAACTACGGATACAAGCTACATAGGTACATCTCAGATATAAAGTGAAAGGAGTTTAAAACTAAGATGTACATAAGACATGGTTCCACAAATGGAAGGTTCACAAGAAGACTAAGGATGACACAGGCCAGGGCAGTGGCTGCTGACTGGGAAGGGCAGAAGAATCCTATACAGACTATGAGGAATCTTTTATGTTTTGATATTGGTGGTAATTTAAAAAGAAAATACTTAAGATTTACTCCTACTATACACCTTTAAGTATGCATAGTATGTCTTTTTTTGGTCTACAAAGTGAGGATTTCTCAATCTTGGTTACATGTTAAAATCCCTGAATGTTGGCAAAACACTAACAAATTACCGGGAAGGGGGGGCGGGGCGGAGGGGACACACAGACAGTAATGTTTAACACTCACCAGGTCCTGACAACATACAGTCAGAGTTGAGAATCATAACTAAAGAGGTTGAGAGCACAGGCAGAGAAAGACCTTGGTTTGAATCCCAACGGTCACTTATTAGGAAGAAGAAGTTAGGTCTTTAAGTTTCAATTTCCTTATCTTTCGTGTCTAAGGAGTCCTGGTAATACAGTGGTTAGCCGCTAGCCCAATAACCAAAAGGTGAGTGATCAGAACTTGAACTCACCAGCCCTCCTTGGGAGAAGGACATGGCAACTTTTCCCCATAAAGATTCCTCACCCCCCACTACTATCAGGACCCGAGTGCTGCTGCTCACTCTGGACCAGACGGGAGCAGGTACACAGCTATACAGAAGAGATAAAAGCTCACAACACACAGAACCCAGGAAGTGGAATGGGAATAGCAATACCAGAAGGGTAGGGGGGTAAGACGAGGGGAAAAAGGGGAAACTGATTGCAATGATCAGCCCATAATCACACACACCCCTCCAGGGGGAAGAACTACAAAAACCATCGGGGGAGGGAGACAGCGGTCGGTGTGAGAGATGAAAATAATAATTTATAATCTATCAAGGGGTCATGAGGGTGGGGGGGGAGGGAGGGGAAAAAGAGGAGGTGATACCAAGGGCTCAACAGAAAGTAACTGTCTAGAAAAGAATGAAGACAACATATGTACAAGTATGCCTGATACAACTGATGTAAGGACTGTAATAAGAGCTGTAAGAGCCCCAATAAAAGGATCTTTAAAGAAAAAGAAGATGGGCCTGCAAGCCCGGGAGCAGCAGTTCTCCTCTGTCCAGAGGGGAGCTGGTGCTCCAATCAACACACAGTACTGGGGGCGGGGTTTAAGCTGTAATAATAGTATTTACTTCACGGAGTTTTAAGAATTGAATGAGAAATTGCTTAAAAGTTCTCAGCACAAAGTCTGATAAACAATACATGTTCGATAAATAGTAGCTATTATCACTACCCTTAAAACTCAGTGAATGAAAGAAAGTTTTCTAATTATATCAGCCACAACAAACAGATGCGGTTAGTATGGCTGTGATTATATAACACCAGCTGGCCCAGGGAGGATCAGCATAACATCTGAACCAATTTCACAAATTAAACATCATCCTGCTCATCAGACATTCACTGTGCTTTTGTATTTTGTGCAATACATTGGGCGAGATCATGTGGGAGAATAAGATCAATTAGAATATATGGAAGACTTGACAATAGCTCGTCTATCAACGCGTTTGCTTTACAAACTGAATGTGGGAGCAAGGCTGTTCCACAGGGAAAGAGCGGCGTACACAGCTGCGTTGCACCTGGACAAACGTTCTGTGACAAGAGCCGATGCTAAGAGGAATGTGCACCAGCAGTCAGAGGTGGTGGCAGCATCTTGTCACAAAAGACCACTTGTAAGATTTCATTTATACATGGAAACTGACAGGATACGTCGCATGCGGACTAGGAGAAGGTCTTACCTGTCTCCGTGTCCCAGAGCTTCAGGTATCGATCATAGGCTGCACTGAGGAACCGAGTCCCTGCGGTGTTAAAGCAGATGTCCCGAACTGCTTTACCGTGACCTGAAGGAAAAGACGAGAGGACGGAAGGCAGGTTTCTTTTCTCAGCGCAGAATAGATGCCTTTGAGGGAGCAGCATTATACAGTAGATCGCAACTTGGTTTGAGTCAAGAAACCCCCGGAACCTCATCTCCCAATTAATTCACTGTGTGGATTGGGGAGTGTGGTGTTTTCATCGTGATTGTTTTTTCCTTGAAGAAGCTCCTCAGAAGATTCCGGTATTTAATATTTATGTAAGAACCAAGATCAAAGGTACACTTTGGCTGTTTTCTTGAGAGCTGGCCATGGCCATCCCGTCCTATGTAGTACGTGCAACGGATGACCAGACAGCCAAGAACTTATAAAAATGTAACGGCCCACGATCACCAATGACAGAGACGTGACCGCTGACATGTTGGTGGGTCACTCCGATGGTTCACCAGGCTAAGAATGACAACAACATGATCTAAATTTGAACTTCAGGAAATTGTAGCCCTTGTTGAGTGACTGACTATTTCTGGGATCACATTACCAAAATTTCATAGATACTGATGCAGAATTTCAGAGGCTAAGCATTTTTGGAAACATGTTAGCTTCTGTGTTTTATTTAAAAAGAGAGTTTTGACAATTAATTAATTCCACGGTATTGATCGAGCTTTACTTAGAAATCAATCTGGCAAGAACCAATCTAATTCTTTTGAACATTACAGGGACGAATGTGGCTGAATACAGGCAGAGACTTTCTTATTTGTAACACCCTCACCATGACCAAGACTGCCAGGGACCACTGGATAAAATGTTTATGGAACAAACTGCTAACCATCTGGAGTAGCCCTCAAGCCTCATCAGTACCATCGATGAACTACTCAAGGAGGACTGTGCCGCGGACGTCAGGCATGCTTTCTGCAACAGGAGTCCCAGTCCGAGCAGCCAGTCTTCTGAGGGCGTCGCCGAGCAGGGGGATGAACGGGGAGCACGTCACTGCTCTTGAGGACTTTCTCGCCCCTGAACCCAACTGGCGGCTCTCCACGAGCCTCCCCGGAGGCTGCTGCTACAGCGGCAGTGTTATGGGCAGTGCTTATTTGTGCAGGGAGGTCCTAAATTTTGCACAGCAAAGCTAAAAAACAAAGCCTCCGAAGTTCCCACTACTAGAGTTTCAAGGTGGGGACACTTGCATTTGGAAAGAATCACCTGTCCTTCAAAGGAAATTTGGCAAAGACAATAAAGCAGAAAGGCTGGCCTGTCAGAATTCTGATGATCCGATCTTTGCCCCGCTTTCTTCTCTGCCCATGAAATCTCAACCTTTTCTATGTTCTCGCTGCCCACTCCCAACTTCTCTCCTAAACTCCTTGTCCTCTGGTTATCTAATTGCTTTCTGGACCTTTTCACTTCAATCTCCCAAAGCGAGCTCCAATGCCATGGGCACACGCCCTCCTCACCCAGCTGTGTCCCGTCCTGGTGAGTAACGTTCATCGAGCCCAGGAAGGGTCCTCCTAGATTCTTGCCTGGTTATTACATCCCATCGATTTTTAATCCACAGCCAGCCCTTTCCTTTGGCTCAGTCTCACCATCTCTAGTGCAGCCCAATGACAGGCCGTGGCCCTGCTTCCAGGCCTGCCCCTCGGGGCACCCTCCAGGTTGCCATTGTGACTTTCAGGCATTTCAAGCAGCTCATTCTGTCTTCCTGCTGGTCCGGGCGACCCACTGTCCTCAACAGACTCTAAACGCCTTAGTAATGGCACACACTGTCCTCCATGCTCCCATCCCCTGGATGGCCTTTCTCTCTGCCTTCGCTTCTCACCAAACCCCAAACTCTGGCAATTCTGAAAGATACAGGTCTCTCCCCAGACACCATGCTTTCTCAAACCACGTTTGCTTTTATTTCTGCTGCCACACTTCCTAGTCCCCTTTCATTGGCTACCTTCAGGGCTCACCCTTCAAGACTCAAGTTTAAGACGACTTCCCTTCCTATCAGTGTTGGAAAATTACTGTCAGTGATGCCATCTTAGAACACGTCTTCCCAAACAGACTGCTAGCTAAACAGAGATGGAAAAAAAATTACCAATAAATGTTCGCAGACAGCGCCGGTCTTCATACACCTCCCATAGCTGGAGCGGGAAAAAGCATGGAAAAGAATAAATTTCATGCAAGGTTTTGGTAAAATGAGAACTTTCAATGAATAACAACAGCCACACACTGGCTATCACATGCTGGCTATAGGGGCACATGCATAGTGGATTTAACGAAGCACATCAAGCACATTCTTAACTGCTGCCAGTTTAAGTATCATACTATTTAGAAGACACACACACACACACACACACCATACATTGTTGAAAAGACAATTTAAAAATCTGAAACGGAGATTCATCAAAATATCAGGAGACCTTAACTATAGATGGAGCTAATACAGATGATCTTAAAATGTTCCTTTCTGTATTTTATCTATTTTCTGTGATCACAAGTTGGTATTTTTGTACTGCCAAGCACTGCTTTTAGAAGAGTCCATCATTAAACTGCCATATAGCACTATTCTGATACCGAAAGGCTGTTTTCTTCTTGCCCTTTCACAAAGTGAAAGTATACTGTGTGAACACGACGATCCAGTCTGAACTCTAACAGCCTCATCATGCTCATCGCCTCTGGATACACTAAGATAATAGCTTCAAAGCTTCCGTTAGCCGTGCCCACCTCAAATAAACTCCTCCTACTGTTGCTGGTTCTCTGTAATGCAAAGCTTGCTGTGGCTCCCCAGGGCCAACAGGACCCCTTCTCAGTCCCCTCGGCACGTTAGGCAAGGCACGGTCTCTAGTTCATGACTCTAGTTAATTTTCAGCATATACCAACCATGCTCTATGGCATAGGTGGGGAGTGTCTGGATCGCGGGCCAGAGGAGGGCCTTGGAGCCATCAATACCAGCTGACATCACATGCACCACAGAGCCATTGCATTAGGGGGGAATTAACTGTTTGACCAAATGTCACAGGCTAATTTTTAAGCTGATAATTTTGTATAGCCTGCAAATGATGCTGTAACTACCCAAATGGCTCTTGGCAGAAAAAAGGTTTCCCGGCCCTGTGGTCCATTCACCCACACTCCCAGCATCTAGTAAAGATTGATGGAACACCCAGGCTAAGTGAGTGGTGCTTCCTCTTTAAGCTGGAATATCTTTATCTGCCTCTATAATGATTATTTACATCATGACACTAGCAAGGTCAGAGACAGAATCTTAATAATTCTTTATATTCAGTCTCTTGGTTTCTAATAAATGTTTACAGATGCGAACTAAATTGATTTCTATTTTTTTTTTAATCCAAGAGAAGGACATACTCTTACTTAAGATAGTTCATATAAAGTGAAAGGTAAAAGAAATTGGGTCTTTATTCAAAACTATTGGCACTTCATAAGAGCCCTGGTGGTGTAGTGGTTATCTGGTGAGCTGTTAACTGTAAAGTCAGCAGTTTGAAACCACCAGCCGCTCTTTGGGAGAAAGATAGGGCTTTCTACTTTTGTAAAGAGTTACAGTCGCTTTGTTCTAACAAACTGGCATTCTGTGATGCTTACCCCATCCCCTACTACGTGATCGCTAAAGACAAAATGGGTGCATAAGCAGATGTGTGATGATGGTGTCCGGCTATTAAAAAATATAGCATCTGAGGTCTTAAAGGCTTGAAGTTAAACAAATGGCCATCCAACAGTGAAGCAACAAGCCCACATGGAAGAAGCACATCAGCTGGTGCGATCATGAGGTGTCATCGAGACTGGGCAATTGGCATCGGAAGATTCACAACAGTAAACAAACAAACAAAAATGCATTGGTGAGAATGGAGGGGGTTTGGAGCAGAGACCCAAAGCCCATCTATGGACAATGGAACATCCCCCCACAGAGGGGTTGCAGGGAGGGGATGAGTCAATCAGGGTGCAGTAGAGCACTAATGGATCACACAATATACCTGTGATCCCTTGAGGCCTCCTCACCCCCTACTATCATGACCCCAGTGCTGCTTCCCACTCTGGACTAGACAGGAGCATGTGCATAGGTACAGGCAAGAGATAACTCACAGCACATGGAGCCCAGGAACAGGAATGGGAACAGAGATGCCAAAAGGGTAGGGGAAGTGGGGGAGGTGGCCACCGATTGCAATGAATGGCCCATAACCACACACCCCAGCCAGGGGCAAGAACAACAGAAACCCAGGGGGAGGGAGACAGCGCTCAGTGTGAGATTTGAAAATAATCTACAATCTATCAAGGGGCTCTGACCACACACCCCAGCCAGGGGCAAGAACAACAGAAACCCAGGGGGAGGGAGGCAGCGCTCAGTGTGAGATTTGAAAATAATCTACAATCTATCAAGGGGCTCTGACGGGTGGGGGGCGGGGGGAGGGGGAGGAGGGAAAAAGAGGAGCTGATCCCAGGGGCTCAATGGAAAGTAAATGTCTAGAAAAGAACGATGGAATATATGTACGAATGTCAGATACAACTGATGTACGCATTGTAACAAAAGCTGCAGTCGCAGATACAGGGGCAGTTCTACCCTGTCCTACGAGATCATCGCTGTGAGTCGCCTTCGACTTGAAGGCAGTGGGTTTTACTGGCTGTTCAAACCCAACACTTGCTCTGCAAGGAAAAGATCAGGTGATGCCGTCTGCTCCCACAAACACAGTCTAGGAAACCCTGTAAAAGGTTGTTATGAGTTGGAATCAGTTCGATGGCAATGGGTAAAGTCAAGGAAATTGGATTCTGTTCTAATCGGTAATGTAGTAACTGCTGTCTTATATCTTATCAGAGTATAGACAATTGACCACACAATCATATTTAAGTTCACGTGTATGTGCAGAAGCAGTTCATAAATTGCTGCATTCACAAGGCCCAAGAAAAAAGAATTATCTAATAAGCCTAGATTTATTCACCACCAGTCAGATAGCTTGAACCAAGCCACTAGTTTTACTGCACTTCTGCTCCTGAGGACTCACCTTAATTTTACAGTCCATGGAACAAGACAGCAGCAAATGGCCGGAGAGAGGAAACAGTCTGACTGCACTGACACCCTATCAAAAGGAATGAGTGATGAATCAGAAACAGTCTACCAGCTGAAATGAAACACAAGAAAAAGGCAGGGTAGTTCTAGGCAACCTAACGTACTGTTTTCCTTTATTCCAAAATTAATGCCCCAGAAAAACCTTCATTAGTTCCAAGTGCAGCGCATCTCCATATGAACCTGAGCGTTAACCCTGAATATGGACTTCTTCACTCAAGAGAATCCTGGATCGATCCCATTGCTAGTGCCCCTGGTGCTCCTCTTCCTTCTTTGAAGCAATCTCTACAACAGGTTTGCTGCCTTTTGGCAAAGGGCTCAAAGTTGTCGGTTGGAATAGTGCCAATCAATACCCAGAGTTTTCAACGTTCCTGTCTCTGTATCAGTTTCAACAGGACCAGGATGGGCAGACCTGGAAGTACCACTGGAGTATGGTGACCCCAAGAACTGCAGCACATGTACTGAGGCTCAGCAGGGGCTTGGGTCTAGTACCGACCCAGTACTCACTGGCGTGGTGCCAAGAGGAAGCTGACAGTGGCAGGGACTTGTGGGGAAAGGGCTGGGCTGTAACAGGTGCCAAGACACTGAACCGTGAAGGGGCATGCCGTGGCCAACCCAATGGCCCTGACGACTGCTGAGTCACTGTGACTGAGTGCAGGGACCTCCAAAGCCTAACTTGAATTTTTCATCTTCAATTTGACTTTCCCTGCTGTTATCTGTATCAGAAATACTGGTTATCCCACATTACTAATAGAAACTTTACGTTGGTTTCACTATTACAACATGGCCACTAACAAAACCAACCAACCAGCCTACCTTTGTGTGCCCAGACCATACATGAATTTGTTTTTTGGGGAGATAACACTTCTCAGGGGGCACAGTTGACCGGAGATTAACGCCAACATCTTGAGGTACGTGAAGATATGACCTGCCCTGGTAGTCATACATTTCTTTGACTGAAACAACAAGGCAGAAGCAATCAATAAGGCACACAGTGTCTATGCTTAAAATACTAACAAGCATTCCTAGTATACTATTTCATAATAAGGTTTAATGAAGAACATTCTGAGGAGTGCAGACCAAAAGTCAGTCAAAATTTAGCTGCCAGAAAAATAAAAATAAATTAATTAGTTAAAGTCAATATTAGAGTAGTATTCTGGAATTTTTAAATGCCCAGGAAACATTAGAGTTCTACTTATTTTCCTCAGTAGGACATGAAGCAAAACTGGATATGGGACAGGCTCAAGTAAAACAAAACAAAACAATCAACTTTTTCCCCCTCTTACGCTCTTTTCAGTTTCTTTTTTCATTTATCTTTTCTCATTTTCATATAAATCTTATACCAAAATAACCTGTGTGACAAACAATTCAACCAGGGTGCAGTGTAGCACCGATGAAATACACATCATTTCTCTAGTTCCTGAATGCTTCCTCTCTCCCACTACCATGACCCAGTTCTACTTTACAAACCCGGCTAGACCGGAACACACACACTGGTACAGATAAGAGCTCTCGACACATGGGTTCAGGACAGATAAACCCTCAGGAACAGTAGTGGGAATAGCGATACCATGAGGGTAGGGGCTGGAAGGGTGAAAGGGGAACCTATCACAAGGTTGGATATATAGCCCCCCCCACCCCCCGCAGGGGGAAGAATAACAGAAATGTGGGTGAAGGGAGACAACAGACAGTGTAAGATATGAAATAACAATAATAATATATTCATTAGGATGGAAGGGTTGGAGAGGGAGGGGAAAAAAGGAGCCAACACCAAGGGCTCAAGTAGAAAGAAAATGTTTTGGAAATGTTGATGGCAACAGATGTACAAGTGTGCTTAATACAATTGAATGAAAGACTGTTATAAAATTTGTAAGAGCCCCGCATAAAATGATGAATAAAAAAATAACCTGTGCGAATTATATGACATAGTTTATATACAGCATTTGCCAGTATGTGTCCATGAGTGCTGGCCCTCATGTTAGGGCTGCTGGTACCACAGTATTAAATAGACTCCGGAGAGAGAAAGCTGGAGGTTATGATACCAAATACAACCTTATTAAACTTAAGTATTTGATAGGTGATGAAACATTGGAATAATCAATACTATCAGTGCTAAATTATTGTTTCAGATGATCACTACCTATTTCCTCAATATAATTATGAACAAATTAGATAATCTAGAATGTAATATATTTTAATATGTACTTCTTTCATAAATAATTAATTTTAGAAGTTTTTATTTCCAAACTACTTACATGAAAAAAATGTATTGTTTTCAAGTATAATTTAGTAACGTTTGCATGTACTTCTTTCCATAAATAATTCATTTTAGAAGTCTTTATTTCCAATCTACTTACATGAAAAAAATGTATCGCTTTCAAGTATAATTTAGTAACTTTTGTAAACTGTGAGACTACCTAAAGAATAAACATTTGGCATGGGATGACAAAGCAAAGGTTTAAATGACTGTTTGGGGGCACTAATAACTAACAAAAGGGGGCCAGCTTCCTTTGGAAAAACATATAGTTTTAGAAAACATTTTGGTTTCTTACCATGTTTTACTCTTTAATATTGGAAGAAAAAAATGAAAATCTGTGGCTATTATTAATCATGCTACTTTCTCTCTTGTTGGCACGTGCCTAGGAGAATTTGCTGTTATTTATTTGGGATGCAAATTGTCCAACATAATCACTCTGCACATCATGATTTTATAGCAGCTGATTGTAAGGGGAGTTGATGTTATATGCACTGGGAATAGAGTTGAGATCCTTAAAGTTATCTTAAAGAGGAAGAAATATAAACATGTTACCGTGTAAGATAGTCTTTTCCTCCCCGGGTTTCTCATCTTCCTGTTTGCCTTTCTTCTGCCTCTTTGCTGTGATTTCATCCAATTCTTTTTGTTCTTCCTGCGGAAATGTGAGAACTTGGGATGAATCCTCTAGATGCCCATGACATTAGCTTATACTCTCTACAAAGGAGTCCACTCTTTTGGTGAAGCACCAGCTGGAAGGGTAACAGTCTCAGCTTCCCCACAAGCAGAGACTGACTGAGGACCTCTTCCACAGAGTACAACCTCGCCCTGAACACAATGCGTTCGTTCGCATGGATTTTATGCAAAACCCACCCACCTTTTAAGAACTTCTATTATGCTAATGATGAAAACAAGGCTATTAGAGGAAACCAAATTTTAACACACAGGTTGGTTCTTCAGTAAGCAGTGTTTACACAGTCCTAAGGGTGTAAGCAGTGACTCTATTGTGGTTGCACGGCTTCCTGGGCAGTTGGGTAAAGAATTCAGGATGGTAGTAAATCTTCATTGATAATAACAAAGAAATCGATGCTGTCTAAAATAAACAAATAGCACTATATGTATCTATACAGAAGGGTGTGTGTGTGTAACTTCGACATATGGACACAAGAAACAACTGGGCAGTTGTTTATCTTGTCCACTCTGCATGCCTGGCTCACAGAGCTAGCAGGATCAGGAAGAGGGGATGGGTACAGTAAAGTTCTGTGCTGTATTTTATAAACATAGTACTATGCTTAGAGAAACAACATAAAAATACTACCTTCTGAAATACTTAAAAATGAACTAATAATTAAATGGAAACACTGAGAAGGAAAACACGTTCTCTTAGTTTCTCAATCAACCATGGCAGAAAACTCTGGTGAGTCATTTGCCTTCCCTAAGGATGTCTCAAGCATATTAATAGAGAGATTGATTCATTGAGACCCAGCGTGCACCTGAATTGACAATGAAAAACATCAAAGCTTACTTCTGAAGGTTTGGCTACATCTTTTTCATCCACATATTTTGCCCAGGGTCCCAGGAAACCATCAATATTAGATGCATCATTTTCTTTGAACTTTTTTCTCTTTTCTGTTTTCTTCTGACCAGTCTCAAACACAGTTAAACCTACATTGGAAAGAGGAGAGTTTACTAATGTGCATCTTCTTTTTCTAAAAGTTAGCATCTATGAATTTTACTTTCTATGGCTATAGAAAGGTGATTAGTAAAGGGAGCAAAGATTTATTAACAAACATAAACTAAAATTTATGATGAACTTGCCAGGTACACTAACTCACACGATACAGAGGGATCCTCCTTTCAGGACAAAGCAGCTGTGGCACTGCAGGGTTTTATACACTCTATCGATTACCTCCGTTGAACAAAGGACTCAGGCATGCAGCCCTACACTGGTGCGCTCCTGCAGTTCTGTTCGTGGACCACACCTCAACGGCACCGAATGCCAGCACTTTAAAAAACCACCCGTGGCTTTGTGATGTGATGAGACAGGGTTAGTGTAGGGCCTATCTTGTGTCAATCTCAACACGAGACTAAACCCACGTTGCCAAAGAGAGAATCTGGGTGGGGTGGGGTGGGGAACATATACCAAGCCCTGGAGCAGAAGCTTAGGAGGGACAAGCTTAGGAGCTTCCTCCAGAGGATTATAACCACAGATTGGGAGGCGAGGATTCACAAAGACATTGTGTAGGGGCTACAATGGTGACAGCGTTCATTTCATAACACCGAGTGACTCAATATTGCTAAACCATGGTAAAGCTACTTTTAGACAGAATAGACTAATTTATCATTATATAACGGAATTTTATTAAATTACATTAACCAAAATTAAATACCAAACCCACTGCCATTAATTTAATTCTGACTCATAGCCACGCTATACAGGGCTTCTAAGACTACAAATCTTTATCTGAAAGCGAGACAATCTCATTCTTCTCTGGAGCAGTGGCTGGTGATTTTAAACTGTCCACCTTGGGATTAGACGTGCCACTCCTAACTCAGCATCACCAGGGCGCCGTAAAATTACATCAAATGCTTAAAATGTATCTTTACTTCCCTATTAATGCAACCTCAAAAGTTCCATAAGGGTTCACAATTTTCCAAGTGAGTTCCACTTAACCTTCACCTCTAGGTATCTGAAGAGCAAAGAGAAAAGCAGGTGCTTCTGGCTAAGACTTTGACTTGACCAGCAGGAAGTGGCATCTGCATGTAATGTTCGGTTGGTAAAACAGGTTTATCGAAATCATAGTCACAAGTTCACTGTTAACGGAAAATCTAGCCACATAGAGATGTAGCTTATCGGAATCTAATTTGAAGGGAATAAATCTGTATCGATTTAGTTTCCTTTCGACTGTGCTGCAACAAAAGCTTTGTTAAAATTTTAGTTCAACAATAACTAGCGCCCTGGTGGCACAGAGGGGAAAGCACTAGCCGGCTGACTGGAAGTCCGATGGTCTGCCCCGCCCGCGGCTCTGCGGGGGGGGAGGAGGAGGCGGCAGCCTGTTTCCACAGAGATTTGCAAGGGTGGGATTACTACGGGGTAGGGCTTCTTGTGCAGTTGCTATGAGCTGGGATCGGCTAGAGTGTGAACAACAATCTAGCTCACACACAAAAGGTCACTTGATCACATAGGATCTATAATTTCTTAGAAGCCACCTTATAGAATACATTGATATATTTTTTTTAAAAATGATCATTCTTATGAGTAATATTCCAGTGGCCTGATGAGCTCTGTGGCAAGTGTGCATTCAGAATATGTTTGGGCTGCTCACTGTGAAGTTGGCAGTTTGAAATCACCAGCTATTCTGCAGGAGAGAGATGGGGCTTTCTCGTCTTAAAACAATAGGTCCCAGAGGGCACAAGCAGAAACACATGTATTTTTAAACAAATATATTTAAGTAGCTCTCAAAACTACTTAACCTGCAAAGCAGTCTTTCAAAGGCAATCTCCACAGACATGACAATGAAAGTTTCTGTTCTTCGGAAACACAGCTTGACATTAGTGTGGAGGTGTAACTGGTCCCAATCGGCATAAGTTAGAATTTGTTGGATGAGTTCTAAAGTCTGGCATTGAGCCAGGTACTCAAAATGACCCAACGTAGATACCAGTAGCCTTCTGACAGGTCTAGACTGTAATAGCTCTAAATGATACCACTCTAAGCACTAGTCTTTTATTGACTCAACTGTAAAAAAAGATCCAGAACGAATCAGAATTAGATGTAAATATTTTTCCTACAGTCTAATTAAAGTCAACCTGCAAGACAACAATTACAAGTATATAGGAGGGTTAGGTCAATTGGCATTGCTACAAAATCAGAGAAGCCTCTCTAAGTAAGGTATCAAAATAGGATGCTATTGTTTCCCTGACATCCCTCCTTCCTCTTACACACTTCTGAAGGTGATGTTTCTGTCTCTCTAACTCTTCCCCCAAGAATTCCATACTCTTCTACTTATACCATGTCAAACTGGCAGTTTGGGCATCACGTTCCTTTAAAGTGTATTTTGTGTCTGTGAGACAGAAATGTGAAGGACAAGACTCAGGGCAGTGGGGACGATGGGGCAAGGTTTCCCAATGAAACTTCTGGTACAACTTTCCCAGGCCTGTTCTCACCAATGCAGGTTAGCCTTCTGACTTGACTTCCCTGCCCTGAATTTAAGTGGTCCTTTAGACATCACTGTTCTCATGGGATCTTTCTTTTGAAGGGCCCCTAAGAAGACTAAGACAGTGTATTACTGAGAGAACTTACCTGTAGCCATTCACTGTGGCAGACACTTGCTTAAATATGTATTGCTGGAACGAACCCACACAAATGAAATGGAATGCTAATCGCAATACTTTTTGACTTATTCTCAAATGAGCGGGCATCAAAATGTTTGTGGAAAAATTCCATTATCTTATAGTTCCATCTTTTCCACAATCCTTTTGACACCCCTATATTCGACATCAAAGATTCCAAATCAATCACCTTGATTTTTTTCAGCTTCTTCGACAGAACCAATGTACTTAGTAGACACTTGATGACTGTCTAGTGAAGGGTCCAATGCATAACCTTAACAGAAAAAGGACAGAGTTAATTCTATTCACAATTCATTTTTTATTTTTAGTACACAGATACATTCATTTCACAGTTTCCTTCCCACATCTAAAAAATAATAACTTTTCCCTCAATTCGGGACTGATCCTCCTTTCCTGAGCTATGTTTCTATTTAGAATAAGCCAGACGTTCCACTGGACTAGGAGAGAATTCAGGATTACGGCGCTATCTGACAGAACAGATCCAGCCCAAGGACATCACACACTACTAAAAGCTTCTCTGGCCAAGACTTCAACCCCCCCCTCTTTCTCCTTCCTAAACGTTTACAAAACGTTTAGGAACTCGCTACACCTTAGCGAGTTTCCCTTTCTCTTTGGTAACAGACATTGCAAGGTTTTGTTTATCTTATCCTAAAGAAAATTTTAAAATAAAATAGAAGATACATAAAATCTTGGTTCGTTATTAGTTTGAAATGTCATTCTTATTAGGAACATTTTCTTTTGCCCCTAATCTTAAGAGTCATAATTTACTACTTTATACAGCATTCTGAATTTATATTTCCGTGGGAAAATATATAGGCAAGTATACTGGCTAGCACATGAATACATCCCTTCAACTCGTGAAAATGTAGTTAGCTCCCTAGGAGTGGGGCCTTCAGCAGTCCATGGGAAAGCAAGTCTACTGACTGGTACTTGCTCACATCAGCTTGTCCTCAAGTGGCTGTGCTAATTCAACAAATGCTTTGTACAAATCAGCTTTATTAACAACCCAGCATATCCATGAAAAACAGCTAGATCGTGGATCCGTCTATGGGCTCAACACTTGGGAACAGCACGGAGGCAGGAAAAGGAGGCGCCCATGTCTTGTCAAAGGGCACATCCTAGTGGATGTGCTTACAGTTTTCTTCCCCACCGAGAAGAAAGAGCTTCTCTCAGGGATCAGCAGCATCAGACCTGTCATCGAGCACCGTTTTCAAACAAGCTAAGGATGGAGGGACTCAAACCCAACTTCCTGGCTCAACTGTAGATAGTTTTTTCCCCAGCATTAAAATAAGTTATTAGTCAGAGGAGAAGCTTGATGGCAAAAAAGCAGCTTTGGAGTAGGATCGCTGAAGTCACAGGTTCAAATCCTATGAGTTACCTTTCAGCTCTTTGATGTACAGAATAGTGTTCTGTATGTGATTCCCCCCCCCCCACACACACACACATGCACACTTAATGCAGTGGTTCTTAACCTTGCTAATGCGGCGACCCTTCAATACAGTTCCTCATGGTGTGGTGACCCTTTATGTGGGCAGACCAATATGGAGACCGATACAGGAGCGGTGTCTTGGTTCCTAAGGCCATTGGAAATATGGTCTTAGGCAACTCCTGTGAAAGGGTCATTTGACCCACCCCAAAGGGGTCGTGGCCCACAGGTTGAGAACCTCTGCCTTAAGGGACTTCCATGAAGCTCATATAAAGCTCGATTAACATTCTTTTAAAAAAATTCTCTAAACCTTATTTCAAAGCTATTTCCTTCTCTGTTAATAAGGTTTACAGTTAATGTTCTATGACACTTATTACGAGGCCTGCCCATTGCTGGCAATGGACTTTGAGAGAGTCCACTTCCTGGCACCCAAAAGTTAAATGGTTCTTCTCAGACCCTAACAAGCTCTCAATACTTGCACAAGTATTACAAACACTGGCTCCCATCAATCTTTACGTCTGAACGCACATTATTAATCTACATTAGTGTGTGTTCAAATGAAGTCATTTTAACAAAATTGTGACTACCTACCAAGATACTACTAGATAATATTAAATAAGTGTTTTACAAATACTACATTCCATTATCCTGCCATTTGAAATATATAATTCGTATTTATGCAAGTTATTTTCGATACCTGAAACTTCACAGATTAAAGAGCAAATAAGGTTTTTAAAATTTTGTTCCGTACATTAGTTCCAACTACCTCTACTTTTACAGTCTATAAGGTTCATGTCATGGCCAGCACCAAAAAAGATCCACAAAACTGTCTAACTAGGGTTCTGATCCATCCCACGGGATCATTTTTGTTCGTTGTTGGTTTATTTGAAGGTGAAAGCCTGAGGAAATGCTTTATAAATTCTACTTCTAGACCTTAAAAGTAGAATATTCTTTTTGTCTCAGCAGACTGTATAAAACTGTACTTTAAAAAAACAAACAAACAAAAAAACAAACTGTACTTTCTTGTTTTCACAGGACAGACACATGAATTTAGGTTGTCGGTTTAATTTATAACACTGAAGCATCAGAAGTAACCTATGAACGCCCTGCCCACAGACCAACATTCTTGTAGTTAAAATGATTCTGCCTCAACCCCAAAATCTTACTTAGGATTTAAATTCTACGTCAGAAGTAGATTCTACAGGCACACTGTGTCTACGGAAATGGGGAGAAGGCACAGAGGGGAGGGGTTCTTCTCAGCTCTTAAGAACCAACCCCTAATGCACGTGGCTGCCTTCTTGTTACTGAGGGAAAGAGCGCTCATGTGCTCCTCCTGCCCCACACCTTCTGCGGCAAAATCTTCACTGTTAACCATCACCTCACTGATTGCCCCGTGTCAACACAGGTGATCAGGTGACAATACTACTCTCCCCTAACGGAGAGAAGCAAACCAGTCTCCCGACAAGTCAGCCAGTACCAGAACAAGCCCAAATTCTGGCACTATAAAATCCCAGGCCAATTAGCTTTCTACCAACCTGTCTCAAATAAGGGAGTCTATCTGCGTTTTAGTTCTTAAATATTCACGCCTGTCCTTCTGATTTTCATTTTATATTTCGGTGGAGATAATGAGTGCTCTCTTCCCTTTACCTGTGTTCTTTCCCATCTACTCTGCTCACCTACCTTGTCATAAAGCTCGTCCGAGCGTCAGGCGGTTCAGTGTGCCTGCCAATCTATTGATGTGATGGTACCACATCTGGGCACATCTGGCTGAAATAATCAGGGCCAACTGGCTGGTGGAACTACCAACTAGAACATTCTGAAGAACCTCTTTTAGAAGGGATTCCCAGCCCTGCACGCATGTTAACCTTCTTAGTCCCACATGGCTGAGAAGTATTACTGTTCACAATGAACTTGTAACTATTCCATTTTCTGATGTTCCTCAGTGATCAATAAAAAACATTTCAGAGATCAGCTCGGAAAGACAAAGTACATAAAACTCATGTACAAGATAAACATAACCTCTTAACACTACCCTTTCATTATCAGCTCCAACCGCACTCTGCAGGTCAGGGGCATTCAATAACAAGTGCTCACTACAGCAAGGACAGCAAAGAGAACCAGATACACTTGAGTACAAGCCAAGGTTTTCAGCACTTTTGGTGGTAAAATTAGGGGCCTTGGGTCGGCTTATACTCGAGTATATAGGGTGTTGTGCTTTTAAGATTACAGGTAATTTCTACTACTCAGGAATTTTAGTAGATTTAGAATGACAGTTAAGACTACCAGCTCACCTTCCCATTTGTGAACTGTAAATATAGTCCCTACAGATATTTACAGATGCATATAAGAAAACACTATTCTTTTTGAAGAGTTACAGATCAATAAAATAAAAGAGCTAGAAGATAAAGCAGTTTATCTCTCTCCCACACACCACGCGTCTAATAAGACCAACCTTGAAACTGTAAGCTTTATCATCTTACCATAGGTGGCGAAAGTTCTCCTTTGCTGTTCAAACATAAAATCGTTGATATGAGCTGGCTCAGCATATCCGGAAAGCATATTTCTAGGGGCAGCCATCTGCTGTGTCCTAAAGGGGTTTTCTGGTCCAAACTACAATGTTATAAGCAGAAGAGAGGGGTGGGGTGGGGTTAAATGTTGAGCATATGAAAGCTACAGTTCCCAGCATAACTGCACAAGGCATTTTCAACAATCAGCAGGGGCTAGTTAGCTCGTTTGAGCACTTCACACAATTCAGTGCAAGGGGACAATGGCTGATTTGCACAGTGTGCCAGCCTGGGACAGAAAGAAAAGACCTCGGCTAAGTCTACACATGGCTATTTAAGTTTAAATAAGTTAAAAACAACAACAAACAACGATCAACCCCACCTCCCCCAGTGGGACGAACAACAGAAACGTGGGTGAAAATATGAAAATAAAATAACTTATAATTTATCAAGGGTTCATGAGGATGGGAGGTTGGGGGACGGGGGAGAGAAAAAAGAGATGCTGATACCAAGGGCTCAAGTAGAAAGACAATATTTAGAAAATGATGACAACATGTGTACAAATGTGTTTGATACAATTGAGGCATGATTGTTCTAAAAGCCCCCAATAAGATGATGACAAACAACAAACTCTCCAAGGGCTCGGGGCACATGTGGCTCTGGTGACTCCGGGTCCATCGGCACACACAGTTCTATTCCACAGAGCTGGCTGTCCTAGCTGACCGAGAGCTGCTGCTGCTTCCCCTGGGACGTCTCTGGTGGGTAAGTGGTGAAGCTGTGGACTACTGGCTACGAGATGGGAGGCTGACCTTGTCCCAGGGCACCTTGGAAGAATGGGTCTCGTGATCTGCCCCTGAGAGTCAATCAAAACCCCCCATGAAGCAGTTCCACTCGGCACACATGGAATTGGTTTGACATCAGTTACTCATATCTCAAGAGCCCCGACGGTTTGGTGGTTTGACAGTTTGAAACCGCCACCAGTTCCTTGGGAGAAAGATGAGGCTTTCCACTCCTGTCCTGTCAGGTCACTGTAAGTTGGAACCCACTCTATGGCTGTGAGTTTGTTTCTGTTTATATTAATAGATGACATCGTGATCATTGAAAAAGCACATGCTTCTCCGCCACTACATTATGAATTCCTCCAAAGTTGAGACTTGGGGAGGGTCCTTACCACAGTTTTTGAAACATAGAAAGCACTAGTGAAGCAAACATTAATCAGAGCCCCAGTGGGGGCAGAGGAAAGGAAAACAGATGATAATAAAAGTGCTTGGGAAATTCTTACACAAAGACATCGCAAGTTTAAATAAAATTTCTCGATCTGGAAACTCGTGCAATGGAAGTGTCACACAACATAGTAACAATATTACCGAAGGCTTCACATATTACCCAACTGGACACATACAAAAATCCTGGCAAGGTAAAGTATTCTCATTCTCATGTTAAAACAAAATAAAAGTCAAAGATGATGTATTTCACCTACCCGAGGGTTAGTAGTCTTATGACTTGGCAGAATCACGGCCAGAAGAAAAGCTATTCTAGCATTCTATTACATCCCAACAGCCTTTACAAATGTGCAATCCTACACAGTCTCTAAAGGAAAAGCGGCTATGTAAAAGAATACCAGAATGTATTATGCCAAGTTATTAACTTAATGCTGTTACACAAACTATTAGAAAAAGCCAAGTCTTTCCTTTTTTGTTTTAAAGTAGAGAAGGAAATGAACTTTCTACTTTGGAAAGTGTGGAAGTAGACCAGATATTTTTATTTGAACATCCGAACATCTGCTGTCATGATGAGATAGTCTAACATCAGTGGAACATCTTAGGTCACTGCCATTAGAAACCACTTTTGCCAACAGAGATTTCAGATCTATAACAATAAATCTTCTCTTAACCAGCATACTGCTGTCCCTAGATCACCAACATTATACTATGCATGAAAACAGGAAGCTAAGTTTTTCTTTTTTGTTTTAGAAATATATTGACAGCTTTTACTTCTAGGCAAAAAAATCATTCCATTAAAAATATCTTTAAATACAAAGATTATAAACAATACTTTTATTACTATTCATTCAAGTGTTTCCCCAAGTGAACGACACTGCCCCCTGGGGGAGGGGGCACTGGAAAGATCCAGGGGGCTGCAAAAGCAGGTGCCTACCTTCTATCTTAGATTATGGGCTATATATAGCACACGTTTTTAATTGCCAGGGGAGCATTGAGTCATTTACTAGCTGTTCTCCCTGCTCTCATCCTCAAAGCAGATTTTTTTGGGGGGTGGGGAACAGCACCCTAAAATAATAAAAGTCTCCATTGCATTGGTTGTTACTCCAGTCACACATTCTAATCAAGTACAAATCATTGTACTTACAGGTAGTTTCCCATTTTAAAAAAGGCTCTTATAATTTCGTTATATTTTCTTTATAATTTATACAATTTCTTCTATAGGATCTATATAACGAACTAGCTCCATCTTTAAGAAGAATTCTCACTTTCAGAGAAAAGTATGATTTTGATATGAATATAAACGATACATTAAAAGATACATATATGTTATATCTGATACTATTTCTAAAGCAATCTAAAAATTTTAGTGTTTGGTACAGCTATTTACGCTAAGACAATAAAAAGTTCTCTGGTTGGCGGTTGCGGTTGGAGCTGCCCTCCAAGGTGCTGCTCTTCAGCAGGCTGCAGCTCAGGACCATCAAGCGGAATCTGTCTCCCTTGAGCTGCTGGTCTCCATGGATACCAACTCTTGGACGCTTGGTTAACCATTAAAAAGCAAAACAAAGCCCCTGAGAGGGGGGGCTTCAAAAAGTTCTACCTTTTCATCAACTTTTAAAAGCCTCTTCATATAAAAAACAAGACCAAACCAAAACAACAACAACAAAAACTCAGGTTGATTTTCAAGTACCTTTTGCCAAGTTCAGGAGCTGACTAAATCTGAGAATATATTTGTACACTCAAGTGATCTTTAAAGACACATACTCGAGTTAATTAGATATTAGTAGTTAACAACTTTTAGCTAAAACTTGATGCTGACGCACACCACTGTCAATTACCATTGTAATTTCCCTGTGTAAAATAAACACATTTAAATACTAATTCGCATCACTGCAACCAAAAGAATGCATGCTGTCCCTGGACGTGGGAAGACAAATCTGTTACTTCGTTCACCCGAATGAAGGAACAATTTATTTAAAGTCCGAAGAAAACCACTTTAACAAAATTTGTAAAGACATTAATTGATAAACCTAAGAGATATGCAGATTCTAAGGCAGTGCTTTTCTCAGATTTTAAGAAGGTAGAGAGCCTGATACTTGAGACTCAGGGTCTTGGCAGAACAGCGTATTTTAAAATCACAGAAATAGAAAAAATTCTACTACAGTGGACACTGACTACTTGAAATCATAACCATGCACTCACATATAGAAAGCAAACAAAACCAAGCTACTGAACTAGTAATCATACTACACTTAAATTATTAATAAGATATTGAACTAGTAATCATATCACACTTAAATTATTAATAAGGTTTCATTAATATTTACTGAAACCATCAATGTTTTAAAAAAGTGCAAAATTTAAAGCTAGAGGAATCTATTGCTTAGCTTAATTATGTCCTATAAATTTGAAGCAGATGATCACAATTCACTTTTATTGGGGACAGACCTACGATGTGTAAGAGAGACACATAGTGTAAGTCTTACTGGTACAAGAGAAAATTTACGGGCACTTGGTTCGAATCACTTTGAGCCTTATTGTCCTCATCTATAAAATGAAAGAACTCAATTATGCGATTTTGAAAGTTCATTCTAGCACATTAATATCTGTTTCTTTAGCCAGTTCTTTAATAGCAACTGGCATTTTTTTCCTTGCTTAATTTAATTTTGTTATTTTTTCAGTTCCTACTAGAAGTGTTATTATTCTAAGGAATTGAGAATTCTTCCTGAGACTTGCAGGTTTTATGTGAATCTGGGCAGGTGAAATACATTCTTTTCTAAGTGACCCCAAAACAACGGGCGTGAAATGGAGAACAGTGACTAAAACAAAGGCTATTGGTCTTCAGTCCCCC